CTGTAGATGCAGCAGTATTTGTGTCCAAGCACCAGATGTCAACATCTGTATTGAGCCGCACACAGCTCTAAAACCCAGTGATTGGAGACCACGAGGGAAAGGAGGCTGACCTCTTCCAGCCGTGGCTGTGGAGGGAAACACGGTTACAGGTGGCTGCAGGGATGTAATACATCAGCCATGAATGTAGAAGAGTTTTATGGACTTGAGTGCATTTCTGACAAAGTGCAGTAAAAGTCATGGGACTGATGATAAATACAATGAAGAACAGAAGTACAGCAACAGGCATTTATTACACAAGAGCTCAGCTGTAAACACTGACTGTGCTCTTTACACACACACACACACACACACAAACTATTAAAGGGTGTGCTTTTATTTTGGTAAGGGTTTGGGTCAGTAGTGTCTTGCATCTTATTTCCATTTCTAGTTTATTAGTTTTATTATTTTCCCCCAATTTTATGCAACATTTGGACTAATTCAATGATTTTAATTACAGCCTGGAGTGGTAACATTCAGGCTAATTTATTTTTTATTCATTTTCTCTATCCATTTCCTTTTTAGGTGACATGAGCCCAGAAGCATGAAACAAAGAGCAGTTGTTCTGGTATCAGATTCCCTGGTACAGAGTGGAAGGCTCCTAAGGGGCTGCTGGGGTTGTTGACAAAATCACATGCACAAGTTTTAACAAGCCTCAGATCCCTGACAAAGCCCCTCTCGCTGCATCAGCCCTGCATCTATCTATCTCCACATGTTGCTTGTTTAGCTTTTGCAGGCGTGCACCTTTCTGTCCCGATCAGTGAAGCGAGTGAAACAAAGACCGGTGGACACTTTTATGAGAAGTGACAGCGACTGCACCGCAGGTGTGCAGGTGGAGTCTGTTACTCATTAATGATCACGTGCGAGATGCAGATAAACATTAGCATAAAGAAACGTATGGTGTTCCTGCCTCCCTCTCCCAGTATCCCCCCTCCTTCTCTTTCTCCTTCTCTTTCATAAACACATTATAGGAAACATGTCAGACACAGATACAGTAAAAACTTTGTTTTGAAGGAAGAAGGATGCTTCCTCTTTCTGATCACACAACAAACAAAGCTTTCTAATGTTAAAACCACGTTTTTGTGGGTAGAGATGATTCCCGGCTCAGGACAGAGTCAACAGAAATAGCTCCGCAGTATTTATGTCCATGATTATGAGATGTATTTTTCATTTTACAGCTGCTATATTTAGATGAGGATGGACAACGTGATGTGCGACAGTGTGTAACTTTTTCTTAAAGTGAAAAAATGTGTTAACTCAGATCACTACTCTAAATCTGAAGTTCAGTGGAACCTGAATGTGCCAATGAAACATTATAGAAATGTAAATATTACAGTAATAAACATCATGAGCAGGAACGTGAATTAAGAAACATAAACCTTATAATAAATATATAAATATAATAAAGAGCACAATGACTAGAACAGAAGCTATTAAAGGACGAAAGGGCCCGGAGCACAGCGATGAATTCACAGCTGTGCAAACAGACGCCGCTGTGTCTTCATCAGAGTCCAAACATTAAGTCTTTTTACACAATTTAAATGCTGTGAATTAATTGCCATTGCTTCAGTCCATTTTGTCCCCTGGAAGTTTTCTGTCCTCGAGCTGAGAAGCAGCTGATTCAGCTGCATTTTGTCGGAAGATGTGGAGACAGTCGTGTTTTTAGTTCTGCTCGTGGGCGCTGCATTTACCTGATCCCCACGCTGACGACATAATCCCTAAAACAGGAAGGACATTTCAGGAACAGTATAAGAGCATGACGAATAAAAGACATATATATATATATATGTACACTTATGTATACGCCTCATCACGCCTCTCACTCAGTGGAGGATCCTGCAGCATCTCCAGCTCTGTCGCACTCAAACACCGGTCTGGATGAGAGTCAGGAAGCTGCTCCTTCATCATCGATGCCCCTGAAAAGAACTTATGTGAAATATTAGATTTCTTCTTGCACATTCAATACAGTGTGCTTCCAGACACACACTCCTCATTCTGTGTGAAGAGTAAAACCAACAACAGCAATAAATACTGAAATAAAAAAACCTGCGACACACATCCTTCCAACCATCACCGGTGGATCTGACGACACGCCGCCGTGTTTTCACATGTTGATCAGACAAAAATCATTTACTTGTTTTCCTAGAAGACATTTGTGTGAATGGAAAAATCGATGTGTGATAATTGATGGGTCTTTTACAGGAGTTAATGCTTGGAGGAAGTGAAATTAGAGATTTGGTTTCAGGGTGTGAGCCATCTGAGCCTTTAAGAGAGGTCTGTGCCGCTCACGTTAGGAGAAATGAATCTGAAAGTTACATGACAGCGGGAATCTTATCCAGGCGCACGGATCGGAAACAGGAGCACACACACGCCTCCGTCCAGCTTTGATCTCTCCACATCATTCAGAACTACGTGCCACTGGTTGGGACGTTTCATTGGCTTGTTATTTCAAACTCTCCTGTAAGGGTCAAGGGGTCAGATGGTTCCCCGATCTCTAATCTATAGGAAAAACTATACATCGATACATCAGAGGACAGACTGCACTTATAAAGACTGCGGGCCACACTTTTTCTATACACACAGCTTCTCTACCACACACAGTCATGAAGGCCTGACCCGAACCTCAGCGGCCCGGGTTCCAGTCCAACCCGTGGCCCCGTGCGCCACATCATCCTTATAAAGAGAAAACATGATAACGCTCTCGTTATCCAGTGCTGTTAACTTCACAAGTCCCAGGCGGGTTCATCACTTTGTACTGTCCCCTGGAAACACTTCCTGTGTTGCTGTAGGACTGAATTTACAGCGTGAGTTGTCTTCAGCTGCAGCGCGTTGAGCCCTCAGGGCCACCGTACTTTAGCCCCATTTTTGTCATTTGATTTTCAATTTTTTTCGATGTACGACACAGATAAAAGACGTTTCAGTCAAACGTAGTTAAATACAGCAGATATAAAACAGTGAGGTGATACAGGTAAAGTACGCGTCACGTTTAAAGGTGCATAAAGAGCTTCAGTGTTGACGTCAGGGTTCTCAATAAGCCAATTAATGAAACATATGATTGATACTCTCTAAATGATCGGTGCTGACTTCCACTGACGTGATGCTGTGAAGGAAAACACAACCTGCACGACTGATCACCTGCTTCCTGAGAAAGCGAATCAGATTTCATGACATTTGTCTTTGTCTTAAGTTTCACATCAATCACACAGAGCGTCTGGAGAGTGTGTGTTTTGGTTCGGGGTTGCTTTAGGCCACGCCCACAGTCACACTCATGTTCAGGGGTGTTTCTCACAGTTTCTCACAGTTTCTCACAGTGGAAAATGCCAAGGATGCCAACATGACAAGTAAATTATACAAATTATAGATGATGAATGCAAAGATAAAAAGTAAGAATATGTGGAACATAAAGGCTGTAACCCTGATGATGTCACCGGGGTTGTTTTAAATTACAGATAAGACTTCAAACCTTTTATATGGGGTGTAAACTGGAGATTGAACTTGGGGAATGGACTTTGAAAGTTTTTTAAATCATTCTCTCACAAGTTTCCCATTTTTATGGAAGTGCAAAATTTAATTGCTGGAGTGGCTCTTTAAGGATCTTTGTTTTTTAACTATTCAACTTCTGCTGAACATTTCAGCAAATGAATTGAATACAGTTTCCATTTCTCCAGGTTCACAACTGATTCTCAGGGGGTCAGGGGTCAGGATGCAGGACCAGAGAACGAAGGCCATGAAACAGATGTCCAATAACAAAAGGTTTTATTCTCAGGTAATTATTTCAACACACACACACACACACACACACGGGCTGCAGGTTCTGAAAGGACACAAAAAAATCTCAAATATTCTCATGACGAGTTTATTAAAGAAATAAGGATGAAGAAGGTTTTCTGAGACTAAAGAGTTCTCTAAAGTTTCTCTTATCAGAAACTGCGTCCCACGTGAGGGTGAAACAGTGACTGAGCTCTTTAAATGACCTTCTAGGTGATCTCTATCAGGTAAATGGTGTGTGTGTGTGTGTGTGTGTGGGGGGGGGTGATAAAAGGAGGAGGAAAATGAAAGAAAACAGGGATCTTTACCACAGTTTCCCCTAAAAGCTCCTGGGGGGGGCATGGTGGGTGATAAAGATAAAGATCAGCTGTCTTCTATAAAGAAAATAAAATAACTGTGATGTATATGTGTTTATATATATATATGTATGTAGAAAAGGAGGCCAACCTCTGGCTGTGTGTGAGTGTGAGTGTTTAAAAAAGTGTCATGTGCGCGGGCTCAGGAGGGAGGGAAACACAAAGGGTCGTTATGTGGTTTTTTCCCTCCTTCAGCTATAGGCTAATGTTTCCACGTGTGTGTTGCGAAACACAGTAATGCATTAATACAATGTCAATTAAAAATACTGATCTGTTATTAAATGTTAGTGTAAGTGAAGTGTTGAGGTTATATCCACCTGCTCTGTTGATCCCCGGAGCTTTGTACAGACTGTGTAAATGTGGCTGTTGGTGTTAATGAGCCTGTGTTTGCATCGGTCTATCTAACTGTGAGATCGCTTTTCTTGTCGGGAAGCATGACAACAGGTCCCCAAACACCTCCCCTCTGCGCGTGCAACGTGTGAGTAATAGGCTCCACCACTTGGTTCTCCCATAAACATGTTGTTGACGCCACAGTCGGTCAGAGATAGGTACCCGGTCCGCCTGCCCTCCCTCCCGTCCGCCCGCCCGCCCGTCCGCCGGCCACCGTCCCCTCTGGCGCGCTCCAGGAGAACAGCATGTTTGCAGACAGGCGACGGCTGCTGTTGCTGAGAGCTGTAGCTGTAGCTGAGCATCTGTGCCTTTAAAGACTTGTTAGTGCGCCTCAGCCCCGCAGTCAAGTTCCCACAACTACGACGCGCTGTGCATGCGAGTAGAGTAGAGCTACCTACAACCGGAGAGGCACTGGCTCACCTTCACGGCTAGACCCATGGAATAATAACGATGGAATACCTCTGGATACTGCTGTCTGTCTTTTTACAGTTCACCTTCCATCCAGGTAAGACTCCGCTTTTGCAACTGATGCGCCACTTTACGCACTCAACTTGTTGCTGCTCACTTTCTCCGCTTTTTCTTTCTTTTGTTTCGCTTTTGTTTGTTTGTTTGTTTGTTTGTTGTTGTTTTACTGCTGCGGCAGATACTCAGCTGCTCTGTAGATAACCCACATCACAGCGGAGTGAAGCGCCTTCATGATGCATTTCTCCACACTTTTCTTTGTTCGGTGGAGGTGGAGGGAGGTGGAGGTGCAGTCGGACAACCTCGAGTCACTGAAACCTAATGAGGAAAGTGGATACTGTGGCTGGTGATGTGGATACCAAGTGCGCCTCTTTAATAATGCAGGTTTTATTCGAGAGAACAGGGCGCCATTAACACGACATAAAGTCATCGAACAGAGGAGCTAAAGTAATGAAATACAGGAGACTGTGTGTCGTGTTGTGCGCTCGGTGCAGGCTGCAGGTTCACTGTGGAAATATATCTGCTGCTTCTCATTCCACCGCGCTGATGTGTGCAGGACTGTCAGGCGCGCTGATGTCATTTCTCACTTTATGGATAAATCTTGACACGTGTGACTTTTACGCTTTAGAACATTTTCCCCCCACGGTCTGTTTATTGTTCTTTGCTCTGGAGATGGATTTTAGAAACACACACACACACACATTGCAACAATAGCTTGGCTTCATCTTCAGAGTGGAGCCGAGCTCCTCTAACACCTAATTGTGTTTTTACTGGCGTCTGACACAAATACTTGGGGCCCGGCCTGTTTCCGTTGGGAGGCTTCAGCTTTTCAGGGTTCGTCTGTTTATGTTTTTATCTGCTCGGGCGCAGTCTGGGATTTTCCCCAGAGATAACGCGCACATTTATGGAAAGCAGCTTGGCAAACCATCTCTGCCCGAAACGAGCGGTGAACCGCAGGGTTGCTGCTTCACTTCGCGCCGCCTCGCGCACCTCCGCGCGCTCAGGGCGGCATCAGGTGGACTCTGTTTTTTGTTTTTCTCTTTTCTGTTTTGCCCACATGCCGACAGCTTGATACTGTGGCCTGTGATGCGCCCGTGGGATGTTCATGCCGCGCTGGCAGGGGATTTGAATGAGGCAGTGTGCGGGCTGTCATGTGATGCACCGAGGCGCGGCGTGAAGTTTGCCTTCAGCCCGTTTACGCAGGAACTTCCACCGGGTCTCCTCCAGTCCTCTGCGATGGCTGAATAAAAAACACAGACATGTTTCAACGAGGAGAACGTGCTGATCCTTTACGTTAACCTCCACAGCTGTTAGTCAAATATTTGCGCAGAGACGCGGAGGATCCGCAAACACAGCGGCAATTAGCATCAGTGAGAGTCTCCAACAGACACAGCCCGCTATAATGAGACACCGCTGTTTGCTGTTCCGTGATTCCACTGAATAAGTGTTGAAGAGAAGCCGCCACACCCTTCAGCAGATCTCAGCCAGAGAGCTGAGGTGAGGGAACAAGTGGTGTCGCATGTGGAAGTGTGTGTTTTTATTTATACTAAAGGAATGAGCCTGTGTGTGTCAGCAGCATGTATCACACACACACACACACACACACACACACAGAGTCCTGCAGCGGTCATCACGCTGGTCTGAGGGGAGAAAGTGGGGCCTGAAGACCCCCACCTCATGCACACACACACACACACACACTCTCTCGGCTCAGGCGTCAGGAGGGGTGAGGGGTCAGTCCCTGCTGTCTGTACCTGCATTAAAGGCTCAGTACGTCACTTGTTGTGGTCGCAGTTGAAGATAAATGTAAGATCGTGATTTGATCTGTTTAAATCTAAAAAAAAAAAAAAACCCAAACAAACAAAAACCCTTCAAATGAAACGATCTGAGAATTAAAATTCTAACTCACATGTACACTTCGCTCCTAACTGCAGTTTGTCAGAACAGCTGTCTGAGCGTGAAGCTGCTGCAGTCAGGTGGCAGGTTTGTGCTGCTTACCTGTGGAGCAGCAGTACACCTGTACACCTGGGGGGGGGCATGTGTTGACACATCTTGACTTCACAGCAGATAAAATGTCTCTTATCAGTCGTTTGACTTTTCATCACTTCAGTGTCCTAAATATCAGCTGCACGGATCTGACCATTCTAACTTGTTTTCACGTGTTCTGTTGAACCTCCTCTCTACCCGCCACAGGCAACGCCAAGCCCGCCATCACCACCGCTGAGCACGGCCGCCTCGTCATCGACCTCAACAGGCCGTTCGAGCTGCGTTGCCAGGGTGAGAAGGAGATGCAGTGGCAGCGGGAGGACCGGCCCAATGTGAAGCTGCGGGGAGAGAAGAAGGTGGACGGGATGTCCACGCTGCACGTCACCAGGGCTCTGCCCGGTCACATGGGCCGCTACATCTGCCTGGAGAAGAGCTCTGGGGAGCGGGCCTCCGTCTACATCTATGTCAGAGGTAGCTGGATGTTAATTGTCCATGTGCGGATGTATTTTTTCGGTGATTAAACGTGTTTGAGACCGTGTGGAGAGAGAGAGAGAGAGAAGACAGAGGCTTGAGATGTAGAGCAGGTGGAAACAGACTGCAGGGGAGAGCGGAGGAAATGTTTTGGCTCTCCTCTGCGGTGACAGGGAGCAGAGTGTGTGGGTGCGTTTTGCAGAAGAAGGTGTTTGTAACTTTGGCCTGGACAGGTACAGTAGAGACTGCAGCTATTTATTGAGTGCAAGACTGACTTTTACTGTACTTCCTGCTCTATACGACTCCACATTCCCCTGGCTCACAGCCATCACTGCAGGCGCTCACCGTGATCATTCACTGCGCAGTCCACACATCTACCTCTGAGGAACTGCTCCTCATCTGAGAGGCTCCGATAGAACCTCACTGAGTTTGAGTTTCAGATGAACCTGTGCAGCGGGGAAACTGTGGTACTGGATTCATTTGATGTTCCCGGTGTTTCTGTTTGACAGCGCAGCCGAACCCTCAGACAAACAACACGGCACGTGACAACTGTCTTGTTTTTGTTGATGCATTATTTTATGGCTGATCATGGTGACGAACACGCTGCGTTTCCTGTGACTTCTTCACAATAAAAGCCGTGATATATCTCTTGCTAGTTGAACGCGTTATAACGTGATGCAGCAGCGACTGTGTTCATGGGCGTTAGCGCTGAACAACAACAACAAACTGTCATAGAGCAAAATCAGTTTTTAGCCTCAGCTGAGGTGGAAACATCGACGTATAGATGAGAAGAAAGTGCAGTGGAAGCAGACTGAGGAGACAGAAGATATGGGCGGATGAACAGATGAGGGGACTGTAGGTTAATGCACGGAAGCAGAAACGCCATATTTCCATTATGTTTTCCACCATCTGAGGTTTGATTGACACTCTTAATTACAGCCGCATGTCGTGCTCTCTTCTTCTGCAGAGGTTAAACGCCACTCATTGAACCGGCTGCGTACCACCTGCTCCCACTGTTACAGACTTACTTTACCTTCTCATAATTATCCACTGCTCCATCCACAAGTGATGGAGCGGAGCAGCCAGCCAATCACATGGCCCATCCTTTGGAGGAAAGGTTAAAACAACGCCTCCCAAACAGAAACGGTTAGAGGATGGTGTGTGTTACAGAGCGAGGCTTTCTTATATAATGGATGTCACAAACTAAAGCTTTAATAAGTTGGCGTGCGGCCCTGTTTACACCTCTGATGACTGATCGCATTTTTATTTTGGCAGATCCTGATAATCCCTTCAGAAAATCAATGGTGTTCAACATTCTCACTCGTGTGGGAGACACTGCTTCCATCCCCTGCCTGGCAACCGATCCGAGTCTGGGCAACCTGCGCCTGGAAACGTGCTCCAGCACAGCTCTGGCCTCTGGTCTCAACTACTCTGCCAGCCTGGAGCAAGGCATCACCATCCACAACACGCAGAAGGCCTACGAGGGTTGCTACGTGTGCACGGGAACTCTCAAGGGAAGGCACATCAGATCCCACGACTACCACCTGACAGTGCGACCAGGTGAAGGAGGGCAGATGCTTGTGTGTGTGTGTGTGCATCGTTGTGTGTGTGTGTGTGTGTGTGTCAAAACCTCCCTGACACACCTCCATTTCTTTCCAGTCCCCATCGCTCCTCCTGTGATTGAGATGCAGGCCCCCAAAAGAGTGGTCCTGACCCGGAACGAGAGTCTGTCCCTCACCTGCAACACCACCAACGTCAACGGGGACATCAAGCTGCAGTGGGTCACCCCACCTGGCTCGGTGAGACCCTTCTGCCTTATTCTTTGCTGTGTGCTGTGCTGCTGGTGGAGGACTGAACTCTTCGTTTTTGTTGGTGGGCTCGTTTTCTGTGTATTGAGTTGCGTGTTCAGACTGTAGTGTGAGTATTGAATATTGTCTCGTGAGATCTACTGGAGCTTCGGCCGTTTGACTGAAGCGTGTGGGGAGGAGTCAGCCACTAGACATCAGCTGTCCTGGGGGGGGGGGTTCAGTACAGGTAGCCTCATTCTACCTGCCAACTGCTAATTGAGCCGTCACCAGTGATGTTAGTCAACCATGATGTTACTTTCAACCATTTCCCAAACTGGTTTTCTTCCTACTGAGAGGTTTTCCTGCAGCTGGCGTCAGTGGTTGTCTGTTCTAATGAACAACAGCAACAGGGGTCAAAGGTCACGCTGTCTAAGCTTCAGGATCTTGGCTGTGTGTGCACCATGTTGACTACCGTGTGCGTACGTGTGTGTGTGTGTGTGTGTGTGTGTGTGTGTGTGTGTGTGTGTGTGTGTGTGCGTGTGCGTGTGCTGGCATGCGGCTGGGTGTGTGTCAGTGTTTGTGTGCTTGGCGAGGATAGACATGCAGACAGGGTTAATCTCTAGAGATCTCTGGGCGTTGACAGGGTGCCGTCTGGTATCCACAGCAACCAGCAAAGATTGACGGTGCTTCACGCATCCTGACGGAGAACTTCACTCACATGCGCAGCTCCACGTTGCACGTTGCGGCGGTCGGGCCCCAAGACGCCGGGACGTACCGATGTGAAGCCGAGAACGAAAGAGGGGTCAGCACGCAGTCGGTGCGGCTCGATGTTTATGGTGAGTGTGTGAGAGGATCAGCTGACAGTGAAAGCTGCAGCCGCTCACTGACGTTTCACTCTTGTCTTTAAGGCAGCTTTAAGTTTCCTCATTTTCAACAGGAAATGTTGCATATTCACTTTCTTGCTGAGATTCAGGTGATAGGAGATTTATCATATCTGTATGGTAAATGTTAAGCTATTTCCCACAGTTAGTTAGCCTAGCTTAGCATAAAGACTGGAAACAGAGACAGCTAGCCTGGCTCTAAGAAAACCTTTACTAAACCCCCTAACATTGACTAGTTAACATGTTGTTTAGCATTGGTTCCATCTGGACAAACATAAAACAGACAGCTTGCTGTTTTACGGGGTGTTATGTGCTGGATTATTTCCTGACCGGCCACATTAACCTCCTTAATTAACAGGATATCTGGTAATAATGAGGCGAAACCATGTAAATCAGAGAGCTGTTGTTTTTACGCCTCAGTTTTTATACAATACAGAACCGGTCAGAGCCAGGCTAGCTGTTTCCCTCTGTCTCCAGTCTTTACGCTAAGCTAAGCTAACCAGCTGCTCGTGGAGATTGTAGGATATGAGAGTGGGATTGATGTTTTCAGAAAGTGAATAAGGATATTTCCCTAAATGTCAAAGTCTTGAGTGATTGTCTGTGTTGTCTTCCCTGGTCTCTGTGTCTGGGAGGTGCACCATGCAAACACCAGTGAGTGTGTCGCCCAGCACAACCTCATTTTACCCCTCTGCAGACCCTCTAACCACACCTCCCCCCTCTCCTCTTTCAGACAAAGGGTTCATCAACTTAACGCCCACAAACAACAGAACCATCCACGTGCGCTCGGGCGAGAGCTTGACCCTGAACGCTGACATGGAGGCCTATCCCAAACCACACACCTTCTCCTGGAGCTTCATGGGCCACGAGCTGAAGAACACAACCGACCACGTCATCACCACACACAGCCACGAATACAGGCGAGGCGACACACAGACGCACGCTACTTTACCACCCAGATGAAAATGTTCATTACCGTCCGTCAGTGGAATTTACCACCTTTGGTTCGGCTGCAGGTGATAATGCAACAGCTGCTCTTGTCACAGCTGCCTGAGAAATTCAGCTGAAATCCTAAAGATACTCCGGGGTTTCCAGTGAAATAGAAACTGATTACAGATAACTTTCATGCGAAAAGAAGTCACAAAATATCTGCAGTGTTACCTCCGTGCAGGGGTTACCAATGTTACATAACTTTATTCAAGGTGAATTAGTTTTTGCTCATGTGTCACGATGTTTATTATAAACAATTCTTTTAATGTGGGAGAACTAGGACGCTCCCTTTAGGCTTCAATTTCACATGACCGCCTGAAGCAGCTGGTGCGCAGTGCGAGACAATCACTGAAGCCTTTCTTACAGTGTTCAAAATCAATAAATCAATTCCAATAACAGGAGCAATCTTATTTCTAGAATCGCCTCCAGAGTCATTGGATGTAAAGAAAAACAAAAAGACTGCAGAGTTAATATTTCTCTGTTAAAGTCTCATGTGCAGAACAAAACAAAACACTGAATGAGCCGACGTGGATAAAAGAACAGTATCAGCTCTGCTCTGTTTATGCACCATTAAAACATTACTAGTCATCGTGTTTCCTCGGGTTTGTAAAAGAAAATCAATAAGAGCATTCATGCTAAAAATGTGATGTGTTGTGTTCAGGTACAGCAGCGAGCTGAGGCTGGTGCGGCTGAAAATGTCAGAGGGAGGAGTTTACACCTTTCGAGCCTCCAACGGCGACGCGTCAGTGAATCAGACGTTCACCATCTTTGTGACCAGTAAGTCGTGTCATAGATTTCGTTGAAAGGTTTTTCGTTCCCTCAAGCCACATGATGAATTTCATTACTCCGCCTTGTGTTAATTTTCGCGAGGGAATAGGTTGTGATGACCCCCCCCCCCCCTGCAGCACACGTACCTGGCTGAGGTTCATTACAATGGGATGAAATGTAAAATAAACATTAACCCTTGTTTGTCAGGTAAACCCGAGATCGTATCTCACGAGGGCCCGGTGGACGGACAGGTACGCTGTGTGGCTGAGGGGTTTCCTGCCCCCCAGATCACCTGGTATTACTGTGAGCAGCCGTACATCAGGTGAGGACCTCAACCGATCTGATCATCAGATATCGACACCTGCATGAAAGTGAAACCTTCTGCCAGAGTTAGAATCATTTCAGATTTCTGCATTTCTGTTTTTGTTTGTGCTTCTCTCGCTGGTTTGAAGTTGGGAAACGTTGTGATGTCTGGCCATCAGTCGACTAAACAAGAGGAAAAGTGCCAAACCAAAATCAAAAGCAGCTCTATCTTGTGTAATCTAACAAACAAAATGCTCCACAACAATCCAATTATTAGATTTATGTCAGCAGATAAATGCCATGGCTTTTGCAACGGCAGTGAGGCATCTACTTTTATTGCTCCAGCACGATGATTTAAGCCGTGGAAACTCTGAATACGTCCGTGTTTCTCGCACTTCTGCAAATTCCTAGGTGCTTTATCAGGAAGTTGTTTGCACAGAGCACCACCTGTTCGTCGCACGCTGGCAGATCCGTTACATTCATACACCTCGAGGGTCCTTAAGGTCACGCTAAAGACACATTGGATAGAGGAATGATGATGGCGGTGGAATGTGGGATTGTGGGATTTGACGGGGGCTGACTTGTGATTGGTTGACGGTGATAAAGATGACCCCCATGTGACAGGGGATTGGAGAGAATTGATTTGTGATTGGTGGGGGCGCGGGGACACCTGCCCGGATACAACTGGACACGGCTCATCTCCGTGTCAAACGTAAAGTGTGTTGAGGGAGGAGCCGCCGGTTGCCGTAGCAACACCAATCCCAAGCAGCACAGGCAATGAATCATAAGTGATTATCCAAACTTTATCCAGTCATTTTTTAATCATAATCAAATCCACTTAATAGCTATTACATACAGGCACGCAAATGTATGTACCGGACCGGCTGTGACGGCTAAGCCTGTGACCAGAGAGCACTGAGATAACAGCTGCTCTTTATGGAGCCCTGTGCTACCTGCACGTTTCACCTTTGTTTCATGTGCACTGAACCCCCCACACACACACACACACACACACACTGTTACCATGACCTACTAACTCCTGGCAACAAAAAAAAAAACCTCAAACGTGAACACATGTTCTGCATTTTCTGTGAAGTCGTGTTGTTGAGGAAAGAGTTTCCACGGCTCAGGTGAGGAATGTGGGTCAGGGCGACGAAGCCTGAGCGTCCTGAAAGGAGACAATTGACGAATAGCTCGGTGATCCCGTCAGCCGTTTGTCAACAATGTGTAATCTTCTGCCCTCAGGTGCTCCCAACAGGTGAACGCCACCCAGGAGGAGCACAACGTGATCACCGTCACGCTCTTCAGCCCCATGTTTGGGAAGACGGAGGTGGAGAGCCGGGTGAACGTCAGCAGGGGACGGTTCAACACTCTGGAATGTGTGGCCACCGTGGAGGGAGAGCAGGCCTACACGCTCTTCTCCATCAGCGGTGAGTGCAGATATCACACACATGCAGAGTAAGACATTTAAATAAGTCAACTCAAACATGAATTGATGTAATCCTCTGCACGGCTTCACCTTCAGGTTAGAAGAGCAACGGCGTCAGTGCTACAAGAAAAATCTCTTTTCAGACAAATCTTTCAGTTTCATTAAAACTTTGTGGAGTAAATTCTGTGGCGTTAAATATTCTGTCACCCAAACAAAGTTATCTGAGCTCTGCCCTGTAGTAAACCACGTGAAGGATTTATTCCTCGGCTCACAATATTTACTAAAAGCATGACTTTGGGGAGGATTAACCCATAAACGTGGTCTTACAACAACAGGTGGGTCCTCCATAATCTGTTAGGTAAACATTTGCAAGGAGAGATACCTCAGACATTACTGGCCACGATAAGAGGTTGTCACTTACACAAAGGAATTAGCTTTAGTCCATTGTTTACTTTATGACTCCAAATCCGCTCTGTTATAACGGCTTCCCCATCTGTTATACAATATCTTCAAAATGGTGTGAGCAGCAGGAACTGAAAGTACAGCAAAGTTTTGTCCCCGTCTGAGCCAGGAGACCGGTTTATGCGGACACCGGGGGGAGGGGGGGGGGGGGGCGGGGGGGGGGGGGGTCTGTGGGCGAGCGTTTGCGGCCAGGCGGGACAGGCCGGTGGGATCATGTGCCCAGGATTTTTGTGCTTCACAGAGTAGCAGCAGACCAGGCGGAGGCGCTGAGAGTGTGCAGCGCAGTAGGAGTCCTGGCGGTGCCGGGCGTTCTGGGGCTGTGGGAGGCTCGGAGGTGTCAGTGAGCTGCAGCAGAGAATACACAGAGCTTTAGAAACCACTGACAGGTTTACAGGGGATTAGTTCCTGCAGACTCTGCATTCTCAGATTTGAAGTGGAGAGAAAGCTCCTTATCTCTAAAGAGCTTATTACACCCCAGTGTACAGAGGAGCAAAACAATAAGGCATAACAAACAGCCAGACACAAAGGAACAGAACACTGATTATATATAATTACTCACCGGCACAGCTGTAAAAGCAACAGCGATACAGTGAAACGCAGAATAATCACGAGCGATTTGAAGCAGTTCAACAAAATAAATGCAGAATTTGAAAACAGAGGAAAAAAGCAGAGAACTCCTCAGTATGTATACATATATAATTGGATTAGTTTGCTGTGATTTGACCAAAGTGGGCTTTGCTGTGACTTAGCCCTTCTCTGGCTTACCTTAATGCCCCTTTGCAATGTCATTCAGAGTGTAAACACGGCAAACCAAAGAGACAGCGTCTGATTGGCTCTAATGTCGCCGCTCTTGTGTTCAACATGATGGTTTCTGTCTCCCCCCGCAGAGAGAACTGTTCCCCACGATCTGTTCACCCCCCTGCTAATTGGCTCCGTGTCAGCCGCAGGCATCCTCTGCCTCGTCCTCATCATGCTGTTCTACAAGTACATGCAGGTAAGATCGCTCTGAGCTTTTCCCGCACGCCGCGGCCTCTTCCGTCACATTCTCAAACACGACGTCAACAAAACGAGTGAAGAAAAAGCAGCTCGGGTTCATGGGTAACATTAATTCATGTTTCACTCTTTTTCTTTCTCTTTTGTCTGCGTTCGTGCCAGAAACCCAAGTACCAGATTCAGTGGAAAGTCATCGAGGGTATCCATGGAAACAACTATGTGTACATTGACCCCACCCAGCTGCCGTACGATCATCAGTGGGAGTTCCCGCGAAACAACTTGCGTTTCGGTGAGCGCCGCGCCCCTCCTGTTCTAGAAATCATCTGCAGTGTGTGTCTGTGCGATTTCCATTAATCTGTCACTCCTGACACAGTGTGTGTCCTGGGTGTCATGTCTCAGGTGTGAATCAGGGCAGCAGCAGAGTGATGTGGAGATAAATGTGGGTTTGTGTCGGTCATAAAGTCGGCCTGACGTTATCTCTGCCGCCCTCAGGCCACTTCACACTGACTGACAGACACGCCGTCTGTGGTCACCAGAAACGAACCAGTTCCACAGGTCATTAATAATGAAACCTTACTCCCTCACTGCAAACACCATATTGTTGACATATTCTGGGTGTTGTTTTTAACCAACCTCCTCAAACAGGATCCTGCGTGTCCTGGTGCCTACGTTCACAGCCCGGGGGCTCAAACTGGTGTTGTCCTAGGAACACTGGCACGGGGCCAGTTAGTGGGAGGGAAGCAGGACGGGGGGGAATAACAGTTTTTGTGTCTGTCCTCTCGTCTTCAGGGAAGACGCTGGGATCTGGTGCGTTTGGGAAAGTGGTGGAAGCCACTGCGTACGGTCTCTCCAAAGCAGACTCCGTCATGACGGTGGCTGTGAAAATGCTCAAATGTAAGCACGACACACACACACACACACACACACACACACACACACACACACACACACACACACACACACACACACACGCCGGGACATATTAACAACATGATTCGTCCTGCAGCTTTTCAGGGACGAGCCATGACAATGTTATGTGGATGTTTTTATTTGGTGGTTTGTCAAATCAACATATCCAACAGGAAGCTTTTATTTCAGTTTGCAGAAACCAGCGCATGATAGTCTGTATAAACACAGTTGATTGTGAGCTCAGTTTTACTCCTAATCCTTTTATAAACGCTCATCCTGTTTTGTGTTTTTCTCTCCGCAGCGAGCGCTCATGCCACGGAGAAAGAGGCGCTGATGTCAGAGCTGAAAGTCCTCAGTTACTTGGGAAACCACATGAACATTGTGAACCTGCTGGGAGCCTGCACTGTTGGAGGTGCGGCCGCCATGTTGCACTTCAGTATCATTTAAAACTGTGGAGTGAATCTGGAAACTATGACTGGGGGGGGGGGTTCATTCTTTCACCTCATTACTCAGATTTTTACAAAACGCAGGTGTCGTCGTGTATTTGGCGAGACGACTCTCACGAGGCGTGTGTCTCTTTGTCTGCAGGTCCCACACTCGTGATAACAGAGTACTGCTGCTTCGGAGACCTTCTTAATTTTCTACGCAGAAAGAGAGAATCCTTCATCTGCTTCAAGCCGGAGGAAGACTGCTACTACCGCAACATCACGCCGCAGAGAGACACAGCTGGGTCAGGTTCTTTTCTTGTGTATAAAGAGCGGTTTATTGTGCATGGAAAAGAAAAGAGAGTACTAGTATTTACTATCCAGAACGTGCGTAGGAGGAGGGTATTTGGACAGCAGCGTGCCTATGTGTGGCTGTGGCTCAGCTGAGACCAGACTGCTCCTTTCCTCTTCACAGAGACAGCTTGAACGGCTACATGACCATGAGGCCTTCTGTTGCTGGCAACCCTCCCTTCGGCTCGTCCTCCGAGAAGAGACGCTCGCTGCACAAAGGCAAGCGAGCCAGCCATTCATCAAATACCTCACTGTTGAAAAAAAAAATATATATATATATAGGGAGAAGCATTTGAAGTAAAGACTCGGTGCAGTTTCAGGGAAGTGATCTCCATCCTGTTTGTGTGTCTCTCTCAGGCGGCTCCTACGTGGAAGCAGACGCAGAGAGCGAGATGTTTGACGAGGACGGTCTGTCTCTCGACACCGAGGACCTTCTCAGCTTCTCATACCAAGTGGCCAAAGGCATGGAGTTCTTAGCCTCCAAAAATGTGAGCATCAGCTTCACTGTGCGACTGTCACACTTGATTTCTGAAACTCTGATGATGATGATGATGATGATGATGATGATGATGATGATGATGATGACATGGCAGAGCATGCATCAAGTTTCCACAGCTAGTAAACGGATCTAAAACGCATGTTGGAGCACGCTGCTGAAACATTTATTAGCTGTGAAGAGATACTGTGGCCGGTGAGCTCGTGTATCAGCGTCTTACAGATTCCAGTGCGGAAATTCAGTAGCAAACTGCACGAGAAGAAGCGCCTCGTTCACGATCCCGTGTTAAATCATTGATGGGTCATGTATGTAACGCGTATCGGCAGGTATTAAAGGCAAGCTGTGTGTTTGTTCTCCAGTGTATCCACAGAGACCTGGCAGCCAGAAACATCCTCCTGACTCAAGGAAGAGTGGCAAAGATCTGTGACTTCGGCCTGGCCCGGGACATCACCACCGACTCCAACTATGTAGTCAAAGGAAACGTAAGTAACTGCGTGACACTCGAGACGCGGGACACATTCAGTGGTCATCCTTCAACATGCCATCCAATTAAATCGGCCCTCGTCCTTCAGTTTCCTGCTTTGGAAACCAGTTTGTAAAAGTAATGAGTTGGTGTGTTGGTGGTGCCCTCGCTCAGTCCGTCGTGTCGTTACTTGTCAGAGATCCTGTGTAAGCAAAACTCCTGATTTGGGAGTTTTCCAACTGGCTAGAAAAAAAGCAGATTCAAGATGAAGTCATTCAGGCAATCTGCATGTTGCTGTCGGAGGCCCACCCACACTGACACTTTAATACTCCATGTAAACCTTGATACAGGTGACAGTGCATGATGGATTTATTTACTTGTTAAGCAGCTGAAAAGAATCAAACAAGACGAAAAAACCAACAGGAAACAAATCAAATCTGATTTGTTAAAAAGCTATGATCCAAAAATACAATCACAATAAACTTGATTTAGTTTGAAACCAGCTGCCAGTTACTAAGACTTTTGAAAAGCTGCTGATGTCCAGTCCAGATGTGCCTGCAGCTGAAACCAAAGATCCCTTAGTGTTTTTGGATTGTAACTCCAGACTTATCTGATGTACCTTTTTGTGTGGAGTGAAACTCACCTTGAACCTTATTCGTGTTCTCAGATCATTATGTGTTTTCCTGTCAGAATGTTCCAAGACCTCCGCTCCACAAATTGAGGCAGTAACTCCCATTTAACATATTTAGTTTTATCACCATCCCTGCGGTCTCACTTTGAGCTCCACGCTTGATTTCTACAGATGATTTCTCGGCCTTTATTTAAATCATTAGCCTGATTACACGGTACGCGGCTCTGACGGCGCGTGGCAGCCAAATATTTGCCAAATGAATAGTTAAAAAACTTGGAGACCTGTGTGAAATGTGTGCCTGCATTTTTGTGTAAGTGTCGGGTGTGAGTGTCACAGATGCACCAAGCTCTGCGTGTCTTTAAATCCTGAGGGGAACGGCATGTTCGTACCTCACAATCGGTACAGTCTGTTCATTTAGCAGTCCTCAGTCACAAACCTTCGGCCCACGTCACAGTTAAAAGAAAAATTAAAAAGAAATCACTGGGGAAAGGTTTGACATTTGGACTTTCCGTCTCACCGAGTTCTTCTCTTTCAGGCTCGTCTGCCAGTGAAGTGGATGTCTCCAGAAAGTATCTTTGAGTGCGTGTACACGTTTGAAAGTGACGTGTGGTCCTACGGCATCCTGCTTTGGGAAATCTTCTCACTAGGTATGTCTAGCCGTCCGTTGCGTGGCGGTGTTTGTCCAGCTGTGTGTTTTCAGAAGTGCTCGATGTAACCGAATCTCTCCGCTGAACGCAGGAAACAGTCCTTATCCCGGGATGCCTGTGGACGCCAAGTTCTACAAACTGATAAAAGAAGGTTACAGAATGGACGCTCCAGAGTTTGCACCCAGTGAAATGTGAGTTGTTGTTTAAGATGAGACATGAACGCGTGTAGAAGGTGTTGAAGTGAAATGCGAGTGTTTGTAAAACAGTCATAGGAGAGATGGTGTGATTGGACAGATGGAGGTGGGGAGAGTATGAAAGAATGCAATGTGGGGGATCTGAAAAGCAGCCCGTTCTCATCATGCTGCATTTGGCTTTTCATGAGTGACGAACTAAAACTGAGGACATGTTAAATCTAGATGGAACTGAGAACGGGAAACAGTATGCACACAAAAAGAAAAGGGGATGTAATAACTGCTGACAAATAAAAGTGTGTGTGTGTGTGTGTGTGTGTGTGTGTGTGTGTGCGCGCGCTGCCCCACAGGTATCAGATTATGAGGTCCTGCTGGGATGCTGACCCCTTCAACAGACCCCCCTTCAGGAAGGTCGTGGAAAGGATTGAACAGCAGCTGTCAGATGCCACTAAGCACGTAGGTTTCACCGCTGTGATGCTGTTGACTCAAAACTGCATTCCTCGAAAACAATGACCTGAGAAGACTTCACAGGCCGTTCAACACACATTATGAGGCAGTGAAATAATAGACGCGACTTCAGGCACCTAAAGTGGTAAAAACCTGATGTGACACGGTTCATGTGAGAACTTCGTCATTTTTGAGCCTCGACAAATAACAAAGACGAAGATGTTTACCTTCTGTTTCTGTCTGTTCCTCTACAGTAGGTCACATTATTAATATTCACATTAACATTTACATTGTCGTGACCGCAGCAATACTTTATTATAATTATTATAATGTTTTTTATTCGCAAAAAACATTTAAACACTTGACCAGAGATGTTTAAACATTAGAATTTACAATATCTTTCATGAAAAGTAATTCACTTTATCTTTTCTGTGTCTGGAGACAGTTGACATGAAATCCTATATTTTATATTATTTTTTATATCAGTGTTTACAATCATATACAAAGGCTGATGAAAATCTGTTTAAATGTATTAAAATTTTATGTAAATTGAAGAAGGAAACAGTATTTAACAAATGTTTTTGTAAGAACATTTGGTAGGAACAATTGATAAAAAACTGTAAACTAAAATCTTAACGACCACATTCAGTTTTGTGAACCTGATTATATATATTTCTTACTGTGATGGTTAAAATTCAAATTCAAAGAGGTTCATTTTTTTTTTAACTTTGGGAGGGTCAAAAGTGACTGTAGTTTCAGAAACACCCTTATGCATGAATATTAGCATTGTCCTTTATGCTAAATGCTAAGCCAAGGCTAACGGATGACAGGCTTATTTCACTCTGAAAACTCGGTGTGTGACTGCTGCATCACTTCTTGTGGGGAAAATAGCTTTTAAAGTCACCCCACAGAGTGTGCACACATTATTCAGCTAAAGGTCTGTGGCGTCTCGCAGCATGAGCAGATGTGTTTGACCTCTCGGCTCATCTGATTTTACTAAAGCCTCTGTTGTTCTCTCTGTCTTCTGACACGCTGTGCTAGTTCTTCAGAACGTTAGCTTTAAGGGGATAATTTAACATTTTGGGAAATGTGCTTATTAGCTTTCTCGCTGAGAGTTAGATGAAAAGATGAATACTGCTCTCTCTGTTTGTGAGGGAAATATGAAGCTGGAGACAGTTAGCTTAGCTTAGCATAAACACTGTAAACGGGGAAATTTAATTAACATGTTAAATCTTGTTTAATCTGCACAAAAACCAAGAAGTGAAAAAAAGAGAGAAGTTATTGATCTATTGGAGATTACCGTCTGTGCTTTGATTATTTTTAAACGTCAATTTGTTGTTTTTCTGTGGATTAAACCAAGTTCAGAGGGCTTTTAATTTGAAACAGTTACAGGGAGTGTTTGTATTCACAACGTAAGGCAGTAAGTTTAACTGTGTCGCTGTGTTCGCAGGTCGAAGGGGAGCGAATCTAAACGAATCTAAAATATGAGCAGTTGCTTTTCAAACAGTGAGATTTAGAAATAAAGTCCCGCCTCAAATAAAGGCCGGACATCTTCTGCAGTGGAGGTAAATAAAGCCACTGTTTGAGGAACTGCAATAAAATGGTGAACATGGTAAACTTCAGCTAAACCTTTGCATGTTAGCATTGCCATTGTCACCACATTAGCATGTTTATGTTAGCATTTATGAGTTTAGCCTCACACAGCTGCTAGCATGGAGACTTTTAGTCGTGTTTCACATTGGACGGAGACAGGCTAGCTGTTTACCCTGCTGCTTCCAGTCTTTATGCTAAGCTAAGCTAACTGTCTCCTAGCTCCTTAAAGGAGACAGTGGTTTCAAGCTCATCTAAGTGAATTTGTTGTGAAAGTTTCTTAAAGTTTTACCTTCATGGCGTAATGATACGTGACACAAACACCTAAGTTACTAAAGAGGTAAACTGTGCAGTTGAGGTGAACACTGAAATTTCTGTGATATTTGAAATTGCAGAACTGAAACGGTAAACAATAAAAACCCTAACAAACGTTGTTCCCTCTGCTCCTCTCTCTTTCTCTTCCTTATCTTCAGATTTATCTGAACTTCAGCTTCAGGCTTCCTGTGACGCCCAGAGACAGGGAGGAGCCCAGTTCTCAGAGCACAGCGGTTCACCGTCTCAACTCAGCAGGCACCAACAGCGCTCTGACCCAGCCCTTACTGGTCCAGCACGAGGTCTTCCTGGAGGGGACAACCCTCACAGCGCAACGGGTGTAAGGACCCAACCCGACCTGTCTGGCAGCCTCATAAAGTGCCTGTAATGTTCCGCCACAAACCACCCAACCACTACACCCGCCCACCGCTCTGGTACCGGCAGCGCTTGTCGTCACGTGTCGCAGACGGAATGATAATTGCCATGAATTAGAAGAAAGAACACCGAAGGAAGAATGGCTTTTGTCGTTGCTGTCACTATTATTGCCTGCTGATCATAGGGAGGACAGTTGGACTAATGCTCCCCTGCTCACAGCAAAGAACTGCTGAGGTACCGGGGAGGGTGGAGGGACATCAGCCGTTACTCTAACACTGTCATTGAGTTCATTATTACACTGTTTTGTTATTTTAATTTGTTCTGTTACTTTTTTCCTACACATTTCATAAAAGTTTTCTTGTTTTGTTTTTTGTTTTGTTTTGTTTTTGTTTTTGTTTTTGTTTGTTTTTTTGAGCCACTCCGTACACGACTGTTTCTTTCTATCTATTGGAGTATTTTCTTTTTCTTTTTACATTTTGTGTTTTGTTATTCTTTGCTGTTTTTTCTGTCATAGCGATGTACGTGCAGTTTTTATTTTTGGTTGGCTGTTGCAATTGTTGGAGGAAAAAAGAAAAGAAGCACTTGAGGCACTTGAACTTCACATCATTCCATACACTATGTAATGCAGCTTTTTTTTTTTTTTTTTTCTTTTTATTCCTTCGTTGTCAGTATTATTTCCAGCTGTTTCCAAATGTTTATAAGAAGGATATACTTTCCGGGGGCCAATTTAAAATGAGATATCGAGACACTGGTATATAAGCTATTAGACAGCATGGCGCGTCATGCTTAGAGTCCGTAAGTGCTTCATGTCTTTTAGGAGACACGTTTGTCTTTTTGTGTTGGATGTCACCAGTGTTGGGAAGGTTATGTAACAGGTTATAGATCACTAATTATTAATTATTATAATATAATGAGTAATGTAATGGTTTTAAACACTTAAAGTGATGTATTATTTCTTTTTTTTTATTACTTTTCAGCACCATTAACTTAGTGCCCTGTAGAAATCTCATGACCTAACGACCTCCGAGTTAATATTTAATGAAAACACAATTGAGTAAAATTATCTGTCTACCTGTCACCTGTCCGACCTGCAGACAAGCCTGCAGAAGCTGTTGGTGCTCGGTCACAAGACGCAGAGCAACAGAATGAATTTATATTTCAGCTTTTTTGCTAAAACAGAATATATTTGGAATCCCTTTGAAATCATTCTGACAACAAACATTTTGATTAGTAATTAATCTCTTTTCCTCAGTAGCTGTAACAAATTCCAGTGACGTTTATTTTGTAATTTAATGAAGTTATCCTGTAGGTAACTAGTTCCTCCCCAGCACTGGGTGTCACTGCATGGAGAGCAAACACCTGTCTTTATTAGATCAGATTAACACACACCGTGGATCAGCCCATGATTACTCTACACACTGTTTTCTTCAGAGAGAAGGTATAGACATGGTACGCTAGCTTTTGCATTTCTATGCTTGTTGACTGTAAATGTGTAAATATGTGAAGGTAATGATAATAGTCATTGCTTTAATATGATGAGACGGGAAGAGTTTGATGAAAGGAGACGCTCTGTGAAGCTCGTAACTCGAGGCAGGTGTATAGTTTCACTTTTTGACAGCTGGACTGCTGGAGAGGTCTCTTGTAAAGGTGTAAATAACTGTTCAGGTGTATATGGTTCCTCTCTTGCCACATCCAGTGTGTTGTCTTTGTTTACAAGCACGAGACAGGTACTGCCATTCCTGAGATGTGTTTTCTTTGCTTCTCACTTTCTTCCCCTTTACGAGGGTCCAGGAATCGGGACGACAGTCTGTTGTATAGTGTACATCACGGTTAAAGTGGCGCCCGTATGAAATGCCATGAGGTGAGGTTGACGAGCCAGAGGAAAACGGAGGGTCTTGGTGGCTCTCTGCTCAGATGTCGACACTGGATACGGAGCTCAGTCTCAGTGTGTTGGTCATCTCATTGTTCTCCGGCCAGTAGCTGGTTTCCCAGCAGTCCTTCTCTTCTTTGTTTCCAGCTGTTTCCTCCATCAGAAGTGGGACTTTCAGCACCTCTCAGCCAGTAGTCTGTATCAGTCCAGACCATTATGATTCCCCTCTTCCCACTGGTGGATGTTGTTGTGAAGAGCACCAGGAAAGTGTCCTGTTTGTGTGTGTGTGTGTGTGTGTGTGTGAGGAATCGGATGCACGTCTTCTTGTCTTTGTGTGCGTGACCGTGTGATTGCTGAATTAAAAGATTTACTGTTAAGAGGTGCCACTACTAAATATTCATCGAGTTGTTTAGGCTTTTGAAACCTCACAGTCTTACCGCTCTGTCTTTTTGTAAATATAAATATGCGTATATTGTAAAGTAATGTTGATGCTTTTTGAAGATGTCTATCTCAATGAAGACGTGGTACATTCATGCAGAATTCTATCGTGCTGTATTTTCTAATGTGTGCACAGATTTCCAACTGTAGAATCAACTGGAAAAGCTGCTTGTGTCTCTTTGTCACCATGGAAACTTAAAACAGAAGAGATTTGCTTTGGCTAATGTTTTTAATTTTTTTTTTTTTGGCAAATTCTCATCATTTCAACCAGTTCTGCAGGTTCACTTGGAAGCTGCCACAGAAACACGGCTCTGAAACGGTCGTATCTGATCATCAATACTCGCTGCAACACCGGTAAACAATGACGACTAGGAAGGAGACGTCTCGGAATAATAGAGATCATTTTTCATCTCGTTGCTCCCGTCACGCTTTTCCTGCATTTTGCTACAATATTTATTAAAGGCTTTAGTGTTACTGCTTAAACCTGATGTGTTACATGTGTCAATGTAAATAAAACTGTGTATATTGAATTCCCAATTTCAGCGTTTTTTGGTCCATTTTTACATCCTTGCATTCAGACGAGCATCACGCTCTTCATACTGAAATGATTAACGTGTGAAACAGCCATTCATGGCCATGAATGGCTGTTTCACACGTTAATGAATGGCTGTTTCACACATTAATCATTTCAGTATGAAGATGATGTTTTTCCTCCATGTGCAGTGTGAACGCTCACGGCAGGTTGTTGCTGTGAAATGGAGGTTAACTGCAGCTCAGGTTTTTCCACACGCTGCTGTAAAGTAGAGTAATGGAGGACATGCTATCTCATTTTATTTCTTTTTTTTTTTTTTTTTTGCCTTTCTTCCTGCTCTACTCTGAAGTCCTTTTGGCTCCGGCCCAGAAAGGGACATCTGGTCGTGAGGGGAAAGCCACGAGGAGGACAGCGGCACTCGAAACAGACAGGCCCGGCGCACAAATTTGCGTGGGCAGAGTCCATTGTTTCAGGATCTAGCTGATAAGAGACAAGCAGGAAATCCCACCATTGAAGTGGAGAGAGAGCAGCTGAATGCAAATGTTTGTTTGTCAGACTGAAGAAAGTTTTTAAGGAAAATAAGAAAAAAAAAGAGGAAGGCTGAGATAAATCTTGAATCTAATCATAACAATATACAGATGTGTGAGGCATTAAAAGAGAAACCTGAGAAATGAGAAACAGGATGACAGCACCCCCATCCACAGGGGGCAGGAGGGGTCACTGATGAGGAGGGAGATGGTGCGACTCACCTGCTGTGACCGTTCACCGTCACCTGGTCTCAACCCGGCTGAACACCGATGGGAGATTTCGGTGCGACGTCTCTCTCCATCTCCCGGTTCATCCTCCAGTCGAGGTCAGAGACTCGGACAATCAAAGACAAGGATGTTCGTGATGACCGACACATTAGATATTACACTAAGACTCTTCACGTTGGTTTTTCCTTTAACTTATCACCCGTCATGTGCGCAGGCCCAGACTGATCCTCCAGGTTTGGGTTGGGGCAGTCGCTGAGCCACATGTGGAAGTCGCTCCAGAACTACAGCATCAACAGCAAACTTTTTTATTTTTATTTTATTGAAAATATAAAAAATATAAAACATAACTCGGGGTGAAGACTGGATTTGGTGAAGTGAGGTTAGTGTTTGCATGGTGAGATGTTTCAGTAAAAGTCTGTGGTATATAATAGTGATAATAATAAAAATAGCAATATAGACAATATAAAACATAATCATATTATTAACCACTGTGAGAATCATCACTGTAATACTACCATTGTGTCCTTAAGGTGGGGAGCGACGGAGGGGCACACAGGGGGGCCCCCGAAGCACGACCAAAATGCCCCCAGGCACAAAGGGCAGTGAGTAAATGTTGCAACACTTAATCATTTTAATATCAGTGAATCACACACACATGTAGTAACTGAGTCTGTTTGTCTCCATGTCTTCAGATTTGGCTGCAGGAGTCAGTGAGTCGCTCCTTTCATCCTCATGCAGCAGATCGGACAAACTGGGACATGATCTGACTCTGAAAGACTGTTGATTTGAATTCTGTTAAACCAGAACATAAATATATAAAAAAAAAAAGGTTTTGAAAAAGCAGGTAAGAACATGTGCATGTGTGTGCAGCCGTGAAGGCTTGGTCCAGGCCCGGGTTCAAATCTGACCCGAGGCCCTTTGCTGCATGTCACCCTCTCTCTCTCTCTCTCTCTCTCTCTCTCTCTGCAACTCAAACAAAGAAAGAAAAGAACATGTGCATGTAACCCCCTGTGTTTTGTGTAACAGTCCCCTGTCAATATGTGGTGGCTGGAATTGCTCAACATCGCTGCGGTTCCTCACTGTGGTGATAAATTTGATAAACATGTCACTCTCCTTCCGACACAGTTTGTGGTAAATCTGGCAGTTTTATATGAAACACCTCCTGTATGTTTTTAAGTTTTAAGGTGAGAGACCGGCGGCTCTGTGTCCAGGCTGTTTCTCTGCCACGTTCCCCAACATTCAACTTACTGCGGCGAAAAACACAGACACAAATTTGCTTCTGTGAAGATAATGAGTCACAAATTTGCTTAGAGAAAAAAAACATTTGGTAGTACAACTCCAGGGCCTCTGTTAAATGACCTTCCTTCCTTGACCACGTCACAATGTCTTTCCTCCATATCATGTGAGGCTTCATGCCGGGGCCATGTGATGCTCCGGCTCCGTCCTCTCTCACTGAGCTTCTATGTGACAGAGATAGCATCGGGTCTTCACTTAGAAAAAAAGGCTTGTCTTGATGTACACCTGACCACATTCCCGTACCCACTAGCCTTCCACGGCTTCGCTGAGCTGAATACCACCATTGTCACTGACTGTGTCCTGCTCCAACCAACATGGTGTAACTTCAGGTCACTTCTTGGAGGAGGATTTATAAGCAGGTAATATTTCATATTTCACAAGCAGAAAACGGCGCA